GGGTGTAGGGTCTCCTGCTTGAGCAGGGGGTTGGACTAGAAGACCTCCAAGGTCCCTCCCAACTCTGTTTATTCTGTTACACTATTATAAACTAACCAGTTAAACTGGTTTGCCTATAAAGTAAGTCACAACAAACCCTAATCAACGTTAATACAAGCTCAGCTAGCATGTTAGGTGAAGGCAGCGGGAAGTCCGTCACCGATTAAATTTCCAATATGGGCAGTCCTCAACTTATAACCATTCATTTAGCCACTGCTCAAAGTTACAATGGCACTGAAAGAAGTGACTTATAACCTGGTCCTTGTGCTCCCACAGTGATGTGATCAAAATTTGGCTGCTTGGCAACAGGCATGTATTTATGGTGATTGCAGAGTTATATCTGATCGCCATTTGAGGCCTTCCTAGCTGACTTCTGACAAGCGAACTCAATGGGGTAAGCTGGATTTGCTTAAGGACCTCATGATTCACTTAGGAACCGAAGTGATTCACTTAACAACTGCGACCAAAAAAAGTCATGAAATTGGGTGCACCTCACCACCTAGCCACCGCCTTGCTTAGCAACAAAAATTATGGTCGTAAGGTAAGGACCTGCCTGTCATCTGAAAAAAAAAGAATCTCTGAACTGTAGGATCACTGAAAGATGGAATCGAGGGAAAAATTCCTCTACATAGAAGTGAGGATTTAAGATTCTTCTCCGGAGGAAAACCCCTCCCTTCAGCTGCAGGCACTGACTCCCTCTGAATGTAGATCAACTTCTGCTTTCTTGAAGAACAGCGACAGGAACTTGCCACTGGCAAGGACCATGAGGAAACCAAGAACAATGCAGAACAGTCAACCAATACCGCAGAATAGCTGTTGGGTTAATCTTTGATGCCTTGAACAGTTTCTGAATTTATTCCTCTTCTGTATCGCAAGGTTGTCCAATCGTGGCCACTTTAAGACCTGTGGACTTCAACTCCCAGAATTCCCCAGCCAGCATGGCTGGCTGGGGAATTCTGGGAGTTAAAGTCCACAGGTTTTAAAGTGGCCAAGATTGGACACCCCTGTAGTTCGGGTGAGGTGATCAGGTCTATCTCTGGCTGACCAGAAAGGAACTTCATGGTGACTCCAACTATCTTTCTTGGCCAACAAAGATGGAGGCCAGAGGAGGTACTTTAAAGCAGGGGTCTCCAACCTTGGCAACCTTAAGACTTGTGGACTTCAAGTCCCAGAATTCTGGCTGAGGAACTCTGGGAGTTGAAGTCCACAAGTCTTAAAGTTTCCAAGGTTGGAGACCCCTGCTCTAAAGCCCACCACATACTCTGGTAGTGTTCCAAACGTTTATGGGTGGAAAAACACACTTCCTCAGTGCTGTATATCCAAAGTTTGCATCTATAGAGGGAGATGCGTCACAGTCTATCTAAGAACGTTTAATGAACAGAGTGAGTCAACCCTGAAGCTGACCTGACTGAGGCCATTTTGAGGCTTCAGGCTGCCACATCTGGAGCTAAGGGATAGGGAGGAGGGAGTAGAGATAGCTGGTTTTTTTTTAGCCAAAACAAAATACTTTCTCTTGAGAACCAAGGACATTTCAGCTGGTGCATTTCAGCATATGCCAATATGGCATATCCAATAAAGCTATTCTTCTGAGGAATCTACCTGCCTCGGAGTTTTGCCAGCTGTGGGTATGTTACTTGGAACCCTGACACAGAGATGATTCTGTACACTTGTTACCCAGCCAATGCCTCTTGGTAAAACCCTGTGGTTACCACTGTTAATGTTGCTATCCACCAGGCCCAAGTGGGCTGGGATTGGCCCACAGGAGCTGTTTGTTGCTGATGGAATTTGCCAAATCGCCTCCTGCCACCAATAGCCTCTCACCGACCAGTTCGCTCCCATAGAGAGGGGCTCCTCGGGACGCCAAACAATTCGACTGCGGCCCCCAGGGGAGACCACTCTGGGGGCACCTGCCATTGGAACGGGCTGAGTTATGAAGGATCCAAGACTTACGCATCTTCCGCCGTGCCCTGAAAACGTTTCTATTCCAACAGGCTGGTCTGGCTAACTCTCCCTTTTAAAATTGGCTTTTAAACTGGCTTTTAAATCGTTTTAGATCTCTTTTAGATAAATTTGGATGTCTTAATTTTGAGCCTAAATTATTTAATCTGTTTTTTTATAGTTTCCTTTATAGTCTTGTATTTATTTATGGCTGTTCAGCCCTGAGTCCTTCGGGAGTAGGGCGGTAGACAAATATGAAAAATAAATAAATAAATAAATAAATAAATCAAATCATGGTGGCAGCTTCACCGGATCCACCTGCTGTTGGTAGACTGTGGATCTTGTTTCCCTCAGTTTCCTGGCTTGGGGACGAAAGAAAGATGCTTTGAGTTCCATCTTTGATGCCCAAGAACTCAGAGAATCTTATTCCTAGCTTAGTGGGTGCAGTGAAGCGGAGAAATACAGGTATCCTTGACTTAACAACCACAATTTTCTGTTGCTAAGCAAGGCAGTTGTCAGTTGTTATTCATTCATTCATTCATTCATTCATTCATTCATTCATTCATTCATTTATTTATTTATTATTTATTTATTTTTCAAACTTCTATACCGCCCTTCTCCTTTCGGACTCAGGGCGGTGAACAGCCAAAATAAAAAACATTTATACATAACGTTACAATTAAAAACAGATTTAAAATAAATTAATAAATTTGGCCCATAATTTAAAATTTGTCAGTTTAAAATCAGTATCAAAATTTTAAAAACCAACCCTAAAATCAAGACAGACCGGCTAACTGAAAAAAGTAAGTTTTTAGGGCCCGACGAAAAGTCCGGAGGTCTGGAATCACTCGTATCTCTGGGGGTAGATTGTTCCAAAGGGTAGGTGCCACCACCGAGAAGGCTCTCCTCCTGGGAGTCGCCAGCCGGCATTGTCTGGCGACGGCACCCTGAGGAGGCCCTCTCTGTGGGAGCGAACTGGCCGGTGGGAGGCCAGTATTATGCCTCCATCTTGCGACCATTTGCCATGGTTGTTAAGTAAATCATTAAGTAAGTCATTAAGCCAAATTTCTGCTGCAAAGCAAAGCAGTTGTTTGTGAGTTGTACGCCCGTTTTGTGACCTTTTGGAATAGATGTTCAGCGAATCGCTGCCCGTTGTTCAGTGAATCGTGCAGTTGTTAAGCGAATCCGCCGTCCCCCACTGACTTTGCTTGTCAGAAGCTCCCTAGGAAGTTTGCAAATGATAATCCTAGGACCCCCAGGATGCTGCAACTGTTGTAGATAACATGCCAAGCACCTGAAGCTTGATCACATGATGTGGGGATGCTGCATCATGTGTGAGATCTTTTCTCAGTGTCTTTGTAACTTTAAACCACTGTTTCTCAACCTTGGAAGCTTGAAGATGGGTGGACTTCAACTCCCAGAATCCCCCAGCCAGCAGTGCTGGCTGGGGGATTCTGGGAGTTGAAGTCCACCCATCTTCAAGCTTCCAAGGTTGAAAAACACTGGTTTAAACAGTCATTAAACAAATGGCCCTAAGTCAAGGACTACCTGTAGAGCATCAATAGCCACCCAAACATCCAGCCTCTGAAAAACATTGCCATCTAATTCCCCAATTCAAATTAGAATTATTTCTGGGTTTTTTTCTTCTTAAAAGCTGAATCATCAAATCTCACACAAGTGTGGATATCACCTGAGTTCTGTGCAGAAATACTGAAATCTCATATAAGATTTTAGTCTTTCTATACAGGTAGTCCTTGACTTGAGACCAGAATTTTTGTCATTAAACAGTGTGGTAATTAAGAGCCTGATAGTACAGTGGACTAAAGCACTGTTATTAACATCTGATGCTTGCAATTACTGCAAGTTCAAATCTCACCAGGCTCAAGGTTGACTCAGCCTTCCATCCTTTCAAAGGTAGATAAAATGAGGACCCAGTTTGTGGGGGCAATAAGCTGACTTTTGTATAAATATACAAAAGTATGAAGGCTATTGCTTAACGCATTGTAAGCCGCCCTGAGTCTCTGGAGAAGGGCGGCATATAAATTAAAGCAAAAAAAAAAAAAAGAGTTATCACATGACTGCGTCCCATTTTATGGCGCTTTTTTTTTTGCCATGGTCATTAAGCAGATCTGGGTTCCCTAATTAACTTTGCTTCTCAGAAGCTGGCTGGGAAGATCAAAAATGGTGACTAAAAGTGTATTATCATTTTTTTCAGCACTGACATAACCTGGAACAGTCACTAAATGAATGGTCGTAATGCCCTGATCAGTACAAATAGTCCTCGACTTACAACAGTTCATTTAGTGACCAAGTTACAATAGCACTGAAAAAAGTGACCTATGACTGTTTTTCACAGTTATGACCTTTGCAGCATCCCGGCAGTCATGTGATGCTTGGCAACTGATTCATATTTATGACGGCTGCAGTGTGTTGAGATCACCTTTTGTGACCTTCTGACAAGCAAAGTCAATGGGGGAGATTCACTTAACAACCGTGTTACTAATTTAACCACTGCAGTTATTCACTTAACAACTATGGGGGAGAAAGGTCATAAAATGGGACAAAATCCACTGAACAACCGTCTCGCTTAGCCACAGAAATGTTGGGCTCAATTGTGGTCGTAAGTCGAGGACTACCTGCAATGCTAATACCACAGAGCCCCAATTGCAGCCTCTATTTTTACTCATTTTTCAAAGCATTCGTCCTTTCAGCAACGCTGCATTTTCCCCATTGATAAGTAAATCTGGACTTCAGAATATATCTAGAGGGAAAATAAAGGACATTTGTTTTTCAAACATGAATTTCTATTTACCCTTAAACCACATCCTTTTAAAAGATGGCTTTTGATATTTCTGAGCTGAGTGGTGCAGCAGAAGACTTGGGGGGGGGGCACAAATAAGGGTTAGTACTTAATGTACAGTCTGATTCATGCATTACTCCAGGTTGGTTCAGAATAGAATCTTGGAGGGAAAAGGAAAAAAAATTCACATTTCCTACGCTTTCCTTCGTCTGGTCCTACTTACTTGTTGGCCGAACATAAACCTTCAACTTTAAGCAGGGTTTGTCAACCAGATTAGGTGGCGTGGCGGCTGAAAGAAAGCAGAAGAGACAAAGAGGGGGAAATGGCGTTAGAGCAAACCAGGTTCCTGCCACACAAAGAGTTCTTTTTGCATCTTTCAGGTAACATGCAAAGAAGGCTGGTTCTAAAAAAACCCCTCAAGTGCTCCAGCAATTTGCATTTCCTTCCTTCCTTTTTTGTTTAACTTTCCTTTCCTTCCTTCCTTTTTTGTTCCTTCCTTCCTTTCCTTCTTGTTTAACTTTCTTTCCTTTCCTTCCTTCCACCTCTTTTCCTTCCTCCCTCCCTCCCCCCCTTTCCCTTCCTTTATTCTTCCCTCCCCCTCCCTCCCTTCCTTTTTCTTTCCTCCCTACTTTCCTCCCTTCCTTCTTCTTCTCCCTCCCTCCCTCTTTCCCTCTCCCTTTCCTTCCTTCCTCTCCCTCCCTTTCCCTCCCTCCTTTTTCCTTTCTCCCTCCCTTCCCTTCCTTTATTCTTCCCTCCCCCCTCACTCCCTTTTTCTTTCCTCCCTTCCTTTCTTCTCTCCCTCCCTCTTTCCCCTCTCCCTTTCCTTCCTTCCTTCCTCTCCCTCCCTTTCCCTCCCTCCTTTTTCCTCCCTCCTTCCCCTTCCCCTTCCTTTATTCTTCCCTCCCCCCTCCCTCCCTTCCTCCCTCCCTCCCCCCTTTTTCTCCCTCCCACCCTTTCTTTCCCCTCTCCCTTCTTCCCTCCCTCTTTCTTTCCCCTCTCCCTCCCTCCCCTTTCCTTCCTCCCTCCCTCCTCCCTTCTTCTCCCTCCCTCTTTCTTTCCCTCTTTCCCCTCTCCTTTCCTTCCTTCTTCCTCTTTCCTCCCTCCCTCCCTTCCCTTTTTTCGTTCCAAATTTGTACAGAGCAAAAGTCATGCACAATTTTGCTCTCCGTCCTTTCAGCAACTCTGCATTTTTGTTCCCATTTGTAAGTAAAGCTGTATTGTCTCCTCCGCATTCAGAGCCGATGATGGGCCCCGAGATGGTCGCCGTTTTACCAGCGCACAGACAGAGCCCCAAATTTGCACCCATTGCCGCGCCCAAAAAGACGCCTCCTTGACGCTGAGAATCTTTGCCCCGATGGCTGATGATGGGCACTATTATGTTCAACAGCTCACACTCCGCTGCCTTAAGACCATCCCCACACCAATTGCTATTTGACCCACAGATGTTTCCCGGCCCTGCTAAGCAGCTTAAAGCTCTCTTAGGTATCTCCGGTTCCTTTTACTGCACGATAGGCTCCGCTTTTAAAGCCGTGTCTTTGATCAACTACCAAAACCGATGTCAAAAGTTGTCTGACCCCCAGGCAGGGATACTTAACCAGGACCCGGCTCCTTAGATGTGTTTGGATTTCCAGGCCCCCACCCTAAAAAAACCTGCCAAGCCAAATGACACGCTTTGGAGGGCTTCCCTTCAGTCCGGCCGAATGTGTGAGTTGTGTGTTGAACGAGAAGCGAAGGGGTTTGTTGTGGCAGGAGAGTAAAAATTGGTAATTAAAACCACGGGGACGAGGCACAGGGGGGTGCCCAGTGGGAATATTCCCAGGCATGAAATTGGTTGGATTAGGATGGATGGACCAGCAGAGAGAGAGAGAGAGAGAAAAAAAAGAGGGTTAAAAGGAAGGAAAAAAAAAAAACCCACACGCCCTATTTTGGTGGAGCAAAGCAAAGATTTGCCAAGGCGGATTTTTCGCCTGTTCTAAAACGGATTGGATTTGACAGCCCAATTCCAAAGAAATCCAGGGAACATCCTGTTTGAAGAAAGCTAGGAGTTTCCTTTCTATGCAAGGGTCATCGAAAATGAATGTTCGAACCACGCGGGAACACTGATTTATATTAATGTTCCTCCAGGGGACTATAGATCTAAGCTTGGTCACCCCGCCTGCCTCTTTTTCTCCCCTGCTTGTTTTCCTAGTTAGGCAGGGCAAGAAACTGGCCACTTGAAAACAGAAAAAAAATAAATAAAAAGCAAATTGGGTCAGATCAGCAATTCTCCTTCTCCCCCGCCCCCTCCTCCGCCACAGCATTGTCAGTGTTGGCGAATTCAGAATTTTATTTTTCTCCGCACACCACTTCTATTTTAAATCTGCTTTTAATCATTTGGAGGAGAGATATAGGAGATAGATAAATATGATTTTTTTTTTTTTTAGAAAAGAGGAAGGCAGATTTTTTAAAAGGGTCTCTTTCATAACTGCCCTGGACATTGGAGGTTTTTCTTTTTTTAAAAAAAATGCTCTTTTTAAGGCTAAAAATATATAAACGAAGGGACAAATGGAGGCCGTAGGATTCCCTAAAGTCCAACTTTCCTCTAAAGCAAACAGAATAAAGAGGCCGTGGGCAGAAGCAGACTCGGCTTTCGACAGACATAATCAAAATGCAAAACCAGATAATCTTATCCTGGCCACGAATTCCAGATGAGAATGAATTTAACCTTATGTGTATTTGTACTCCTTAACGGAAGGTTTTTATTTCGCCGGTTTGGGTAACCGCACATAGCAGCTTCAGGGGAAAAAACAAAAGTGATCTGGATACTTAAAGACACGGGCTGGGTTCACACAACACAGAGAAAAGAAGCATCAAAGTTTACCAATGATTTTGGCTGGATGTCAGGAAACTGTCCTAACAATAAAATAACATTTATTTATTTATTTTATTTGTTTTAATTTGTATACCGCCCTTCTCCAGCAGGACTCAGGGCGGTGAATAAAACAGAACATACAAAATTTAAAAATAGTTTAAAAATAATTAAATATTTTTGGCCACAATTTAAAATAAACCAATTAAAATCAATTCAATTTAACCGAAACAGTGGGATCAAGCAAGCCCGGCTAGGTGAAATAAATAAGTTTTCAGGGCAAGACGAAAAGTCCGGAGGTCTGGTATTGTGCATATCTCTGGGGGGAGGTTGTTCCAGAGGGCGGGTGCCCCCACAGAGAAGGCTCTCCCCCTGGGGGTCACCAGCCGACATTGTCTGACAGACGGCACCCTGAGGAGGCCCTCTCTGTGCGAGCGTACTGGCCGGTGGGAGGCTATTGGTGGCAGAAGGTGGTCTCGTAAATACCCCGGCCCTAAGCCATGGAGCACTTTAAAGGTGGTCACCAACACCTTGAAGCGCACCCGGAAGACCACCGGGAGCCAATGCAATTCGCGCAGGAGAGGTGTCACATGGGAGCGCCTAACATTTATGGTTAGGATCAGATTGCTTCAGTAGATAAGAGGACACTCCTTTGCTGCAGGTGTTAAAAGAACTCAGGTGGCACTGTGGGGGTAACAGATTCCCTACTTAGTGAAGGGGAGTTCTGAGTTTTAGCTCTACCTTATGCACAAAAGTTGGCTGAGTGACTCTGCACCAATCACCAAGAGACGGTGAGTTCTAGTCCCGCTTTAGGCATGAAAGCTGTGTGGTGAAATTTGGGCCAGTTACTCTCTTGTAGCCTAACCCACCTCACAGGATTCCCCACATGTTGTGGGGAAAACAGGAGGAAGAAATATTAGGCATGGTTGAGTTAGAATATAAAATAACAGAGTTGGAAGGGACCTTGGAGGTCTTCTAGTCCAACCCCCTGCTCAGGCAGGAAACCCTATACCATTTCAGACAAATGGTTGTCCAATCTCTTCTTAAAAACCTGCAGTGTTGGAGCATTCACAACTTCTGGAGGCAAGTTGTTCCACTGATTAATTGTTCTGTCAGGAAATTTCTCCTTAGTTCTAGGTTGCTTCTCTCCTTGATTAGTTTCCATCCGTTGCTTCTTATCCTGCCCTTCGGTGCTTTGGAGAATAGCTTGACTTCCTCTTCTTTATGGCAACCTCTGAGATATTGGAATACTGTTATCATATCACCCCTAGTCCTTCTTTTCATTAAACTAGACATACTCAATTCCAGCAACCATTCTTTATAGGTTTTAACCTCCGGTCCCCTAATCATCTCTACTGCTTTTCTCTGCACTCTTTCTAGAGTCTCAACATCTTTTTTACATCGTGGCGACCAAAACTGGATGCAGTATTCCAAGTGTGGCCTTACCAAGGCATTATAAAGTGGTATCAACACTTCACATGATCTTGTTTTTATTCCCCCGTTAATGCAGCCTGTGTTGGCTTTTTTGGCAGCTGCCCTACACTACAAATGATTGTCCACTAGGACTCCAAGATCCCGCTCATAGTTACTACTATTTAGCCAGGTACCACCTATAGTCCTATACTGTACCTGTGCCTTTGGTTTTTCTTGCCTAAATGTAGAACCTTACTTTTTTTCACCATTGAATTTGATTTTGTTAGATAGGGCCCAGTGTTGAAATCTATCAAGATCCTTCTGTATCTTGAGCCTATCTTCTGGAGTGTTGGCTATTCCTGCCAGCTTGGTGTCATCTGCAAATTTGATGAGTTCCCCATCTATCCCCTCGTCCAAGTCATTGATGAAGATGTTGAAGAGCACTGGGCCTAAAACAAAGCCTTGGGGTACCCCACTGCATACTTCCCTCCATGTAGATGCAGTTCCACTGAGGACTACACGCTGAGTACAGTTGATCAGCCAGTTACGAATCCATCTGGTGGTGATGCTGTCTAACCCACATTTTCCTATCTTATCAAGTAGTAGGTTACGGTCTACTTTATAAAAATAATAAAGATGGTTTATCAATAAAATACAAATCTCGAAAGCCCCTTTCAGGCCTCTCTTTCTAGGAGTCCATCATCAGGCTGCATCTAGAAATAGTGGCCCATGCTCATGGCAACTGTTTCAGCAGAGGTAAGACAACACTCTATTGGGGGTGGCTGAATTTACAGATTTCTGCCCTGGACAAGGGGTCAGACTAGATCCGTGATGGTGAACCTATGGCACATGTGCCACAGGTGGCACATGTAGCCATATCAGTGGGCACGCGAGTTCAGCTCTGGCGTGAAACAGGCTGTTTCCTGTCTCCAGAGGGTCTCAGGGGGTGGTGGGGAAGGCCCTTTTTTTGCTGTCCCCAGCCTCCAGAGCCTCTCTACGAAGTTGGCAAATGGGCCCTTTTTGGCCTC